ATTAAGGTTGAATTAATACATGTATATATATATATATATATATTTCAAAAAAAACCCAAGAACATATTAATTCAAAACATATTATAAAAGTATAAATCGTAAATATTAAAAATATTTTTCACAGTATATATAATATATAATTATATAATTAAGTCAAAACTAGTCAATATTTGACTCATTTCGAAGGTATTAATGTGACGATTATAATGGTGTAACTTGTTGAAATAAAAATGTATTTTTAAACATGTTTTAATTGACATACGATTATGTATGTTAATTTGATAAAGATTTAAAATGAAACATTTAAAAGTAAAGGAGGGAAAATTGCACCAAAATGGAACCAACTTTCACCTAATTTCTATTTTGGGGAGTCAACTTTCAAAATTGTCATTTTAGGGAACCAATTTGCACCTGATTCTTATTTTGGGGAACCAACTTGCAAAATGGTCATTTTGGGGAACCAATTTGCATCTGATTCCTATTTTGGGGAACCAACTTATAAAATAATTATAGAAAAATAACTAAAATTCGTTTTTTTTCCAAAAATTAATGCAATAAAATCTATTTTTCATTTCAAATCTCGTTTTTTTTAATTCAGATATCAAATTGAACATTTTTAAAAAAAATCTAAATTACCACAATAAAAATTGTTTTTTACTAATGCAAAAAAAATCAATTTAATAGAAAAAATTAATTGATGCAATAAAAAATAAAAAACTTGAATGTGATATTTAATATTTATTTTTTATTAAATTGATTTTTTTTGCATTAGTAAAAAACAATTTTTATTGTGGTAGTTTGTATATTTGTTTAAAAAGTTCAATTTGATGTCTGAATTAAAAAAAAAGATTTGAAATGAAAAATAGATTTTATTGCATTAATTTTTGGAAAAAAAACGAATTTTAGTTATTTTTCTATAATTATTTTTGTAAGTTGGTTCCCTAAAATAGGAATCAGGTGCAAGTTGGTTTCCCAAAATGACAATTTTAAAAGTTGGTTCCCCAAAATAGGAATCAGGTGCAAGTTAGTTCCCCAAAATGACAATTTTGAAAGTTGGTTCCCCAAAATGACGATTTTGAAAGTTAGTTCCCCAAAATAGGAATTATGTGAAAGTTGGTTCCATTTTGATGTATTTTTCCCAGTAAATGACGTAAAGTAAATTAATTAATTAATTATAGAAGTATAAAATGTAAATTTAAAATTATAATTTTAAAAAAATCTGTTGTGAGAGGGTGAGTGTATGTGATGAAAGGAGGAGGTGAAAAAGTGAGTATAAAAGGTATTTTGGTCATTTAAAATTTTAAGACTTTAAGAATTTTGTTAAATTTGCTTAATAAGATAATATAGATATATGGACTTGGGATCATGTGAGACCAAAGGTTTTCTGTAATACCCTTAAGACCAATTCTCAATCCTTGAATTAGATCTACAATCTGAACATTCATAACCACAAAATTACCACGAGACTTCTCAATAATTACAAAATTTTCACCGTCCAACTTTAGACCATTAATTTATAAAATTGATCAATGAACATAAATTGGTCTTACGGTTTCACGAAAAACCATTGGTCTCACATGAACCCAACCCTATATATATATATATATAGGGTTGGGTTCACGTGAGACCAGCCTGTTTTTGTGAGACCCGTGAGACCACATTTTTACACGTAACCTTCACAGCAAAAACACTGTGAAGGTTTAAAAAAAGTCGAAACTTCACAGCAAAAATACTGTGAAGGTTTTAAAAAGTCACCTTCACAGCATTTTGTTGTGAAGTTTCAAGTGTAAAATATTGGTCTCACAGGTCTCAGGAAAACAGGCTGGTCTCACATGATCCCAAGTCTCTATATATATATAAACTTTTATGTATTCTTCAAATCAATATTTCATTAAAATATAAAAACATTATCATTTTTTTTAAAACCATACAAAACTGCTATAAAATTAACAGAAAAAAATAATAAAAAAAAATAATAAAATTAAGATATATCTTATTGTATTATAACAAAATAATTTATAATAAAGAATTGAAAAATTGAGCCCAAGTTGACCATCTCCAAGTCTAACTCTGAGACTTGCAGTTCAAATTTCAAAATTACGAGAAGAAATGCATCAAGCCCAATAATATTAAAAGCCCAAGCCCAGTTATCATGCAAAGCCTGCTAAGTGCTAACGGTTCAAATTATGTTTCGTTCAGTAAAAAAAACATTTTTAAGGAGCTCATAATATTTTATTTTCCTTACTTATTTGTGGGATTTGAAATTCATTAATTTATAGGAGAGTTTACAAGATATAGTTATAATCTGAGAGACTGTTTGTCAGTTACTGAATGGTTTGGTATTGAATGATTAAGTGGTCAGAACGATTAAGAGTATCTCATGATATAGTGCAGAATGAAATATAATTGTTAGGTAACTATTTACAACGAAATTCGGACACTGGATGGTTTAGGGAGGCCCATGATACAAAATCATTTAAAGGGTTTTAGAACCATTGAAAAACTTCTTAACGATTCAGAGACTGTTTTTTAATTAAATTATTAAGAGGTAAACAAACAACTTCTAACTCTAGTTAAATCAAGATAACCAAGAGTTTTTAACTAATTGGGAGACTTCTCTCTTCACTAATCCTTAACTAATTTGTTATTATGATTAGAGGTGTTCATCTAAACCGTTCACACCACGCCACATTGCATTGCAAAAAATGATTTTAGAATATTTGCGGTGTGGTTTGCAGTGTGGTTTGCGGGTCAAATCGCACTGCGAACACCCTTAATTACGAGGGTTTCCTTGAAAGGGGAGAATGCATATAGGCAAAGATGAGGGAAGGTGAAGCAATGGGTCAGGTGGCGATGATCGATGGAGGCCTCCGGGCTCCGGGTAGTGATAAGAAAAGTAGTCAACCATTCAAACGATTTTTTTAAAAAAAGCTTAAAAAATAAGATAATTATAATTATCGAACAAGACTTTACTGTATTTTACAAACAACTTTAGTTTACCAAAATATTCCGTTAAGTGGAAGGGATTTTCGTCATTTTATCGATGTTTTCTCTTTTACACAATCAAAAACCACATAATAAATGACAAAAAAAAAGTCAATAAAAGAACGAAAATGCCTCACATTTAACAGTCAATGAAAGGAGGGACCAAATACTAACGTTTTTAAAAACCACGATAGACATCTTGTTATTTCAAAACTAAAGAGACAAAAACTGTTATTTTTGACAAACCGCATAGACCAAAATTTGTAGTTTACTCCCATTATAAACCTTCTTGTTGAGGCTTAATCAGTTCATGTAACATTTTCTGTCAATAATTAATCAAATCTGAGAT